GGACCTGCATGGCGCTTATGACCCCCACATCAAGCCCTCTGTCTTCTCAGTCACCCTTCCACTTTAGAGATAGAGGAAATGTCACGCTACAGGCCAGAGGGTCTGGCTTCTGAGCTGCTACTGAAGGATGAGATGATCAGAAGTGTGAAGGCATCAGAGCCTTGGTTAACAGAACAAAATACAGGAGGAGCCTGGCAGCTGATTCCCCCTCTTCATCCCCCTTCAGTGGACGACTCTCAGGCACGGATTTTCCTTTCAAGCCGTCCAGAGAAAGGCAAGCCTGCTGAGCGCGCACACACGCCAAACCACCGGGTGTCTCGGCTCTGGCTCCTTGTGAAGTCTCCAGGGAGGTAATCCCTGGTGCCATCTTGCTTTGCCTCTTTCCTTGCTTCCCTTTCCCGATTTCCTCACCCTCACCTTGCTTCAGGCTCTGCTTTCCAGAGTGTTTATTCATCAACTTGGCAGAGTCAAGTTTTGAGTGTTCAACCATGCATATGAGAATGGAAACCACCAGAGCGCTTCCCTGATTTGACATTGAGATCCTACATATATTTATACCTTCGAGGCATATCGAAATGTCACTTACAACTGAGGTAACAGTTTTTCAAGAAGTACACATTATTTTCACAACAGGGCAGTAGTTTTCGGAGTCTGGGTGTCTTCCATGACCCATTTGTTCAGGTAACACTTCCATGGTTAGATTCACTTCAACAGATGGTGACAGTTATGCGTATGTATGCAAGTCAATGTATTGCAGAGAAGGTTGATATTCTTAGGGAAGTTCTCAGTTAACCCTTCATCAGATCAGTTTTTTTAATTAATTTTATGATGCATAATGATCTCTATTCCTCTGCAGCTGTAGATAAAAGGATCATGTTCACCTCTGAGATGACTTTTTGAAAAACAGTAAAATTCATGGTTTTTTAGTGTACAATTCTGTGAGTTTTGACAAATGCATCCAGTTTTGTAGTGACAATTAAAAACAGTTTTATTACCCCCACAGCCCGAAAATTCCCTCATGTCACTTTGTAACCAATTGCTCCCACCGAGGCAGACCCTGGCAACAACTGATCTGTTTTCTGTCCATGCAGTTTTGGCTCTTCTAGAATGTCAAGTGAGTAGAATCAGACAATATATGTAGCCTGTTGAATGTGACTCCTTTCATTTACCATAATGCTTTTGAGATTTATCCATGTTGCCAAGTGGATCACTAGTTCATTCCCTTTAATGCTGCTAGTATTCTACTATATGGATACTAGATGCCTGATGCACGAAATTCTTGCAAGGGGCTTGGCCTCGCAGCCCCGGCTTCGTCCAAAAGGTCATCCAGAAGGTCGTTCGGCTGTCCGGTCTAATTAGCATATTATGCTTTTATTATTATAGATACCCCAATTTGTTTATCCATCTACCAGTTGAAGGATTGGATTGTTTCCAGTTTTTTATTTTGAACAAAGATGCTATAAACATTTGTGTACAGATTTTTATGAACATATATGTTCATTTTCCTTGGAGTGGGATTGCTGCTGTGGGGTAAGTGTGTGTCTAATTCTATAAGAAACTGCCAAACTTTTCCAAATGGCTGCACATCTCCATCCACAACGTATGAGTTCCAGCTAACTCTCACCAGTACTGTACTGTCAGTTTTTTTCTTTTATTCTAGCTAATCTAATACAGATGTTGTGTGGTCTCATATTTTTAAAACAACTTAGAAATATAATTGGCGTACAATATGCTGTACGTTTTTTAAGTAAGCATTTTGATATATTTGACACGTATACATCCATGACAGCATTACCACAATTAAGATAGAACATATGTATTACTCCAAAGTTTCCTTGTGCCCCTTTGTAATTCCTTATTTCCACCCTAGGCCCCTTAACCAAGCAACCGCTGACCTGCTGTCACTATAGAGTCATTTTATATAAGTGGAGTCATACAGCATGTACTATTTTCATGTCTGGGTTTTTTCATTCGGCATAATTATTTTGAGATCCATCCCTGTTGTTGTATGTAGCAACAACTGATCCTTTTGACTGCCCAGTTAGTCCATTGTATGTATATACCATTTACTTATCCATTTACTAGATGAATATTCGGGTTTCCAGCTTTTGGCGCTTATAACAGCTGCTATGAACAGACAACTTTTTTAAATGTCTATTTTTAATCAACTTTATTGAGGCACAATGTATAGTCTATCAAATTTACTCTTTTAAAGTGCATAATTTGATGATTTTTAAAAATATTTTTACTGATTCCAGAAGAAGGGAAAGAGGGAGAGATAGAAACATCAATGATAAGAATCATTGATGGGTTGCCTTCTGCACGCCCCCCACTGGGGGGCCCACAACACGGGCATGTGCTCTGACCAGTAAAACAGGAATCAAACTGTGACCTCCTGGTTCAAAGGTCCATGCTCAACCACGGAGCCACGCTGTCTGGGTTAATTTGATGGTTTTTGACAAATTCCTACTCCCTGATAGCTAACACTACATCAAGATATGGAACACTGGTTCACTGCAGAGTTCAACCTTGGGGTCCTTTCCAGTCCATGTCCCACTTCCCCATCCCTAGCAACCACTGGTTTTCTTTTAGTCTCTCTAGAATAAATTTGTATTTTCTAAAGTTTTGTAGAAATGGGACCATACAGTAACATAATTTTAGATTTTTGTGCTTTTTTTGCTGAGCATATTTTTAGATTTATCTATGTTGCAAGTACTGCAAATACCAGTAGTTCATTGTTTTCTGTTACTGAGTAGCATTTCATTGTATGAATTTACTCTAAGTTGTTTATCCATTGATGTGTTGTTGGGCATTGGGTTAATTTTTGGCTGTCATGAGTATATTTGTTATAAACAGTTATGTGTAAACCTTTGTGTGGACACATATTTTCACTTCTGGATAAATTTCAGGAGTGAAATTTCTGGGTACAGTACATTTTATAAATAATTTTTATTATTAAATATATATTTTAAAGAAACTGCCAAATTCTTTTCTAAAGTAGTTACATTCAGACCAGCAATATGAGGGTTCTATATTCTGCATGTTGTTCAACACTTGATATTATCAGTCCTTTAAACTTTCATCATCATATAGGTGTATAGTAGTATCTCATTGTGTTTTGAACTTGCATTTCCCTGGTGGCTAATGATATTGAGCATCTTTTCATGTGTTTATTGATCTTTCATATATCTTTTGTGAAGTGTCTGTTTAAATGTTACCCATTCTTGGTTGTTTTGCTTAGTTGTAAGAGTTCTTTATACCAGACTTGGCAGAATTATTTTTTCCAATTAACTACATTCCCACAGTTCCACAGTTCTCTTTGCTACTAGTATTCCTTAAATAGGCTAAGGCCTTATGTGCCTTAGAGCCATTGAATTCTTTGTTGCCTGGACTGCTGCTCTCTCAGATACACAACTTGCTTCCAGACTTCCTCCAGTCACTGTTCAAATGGCCCTTTTTGTGAGACATTTCTTAAACATCCTATTTAAAAGAGGCACACCCCACCCCACCCCACCCGCCCTAGCTGGTTTGGCTCAGTGGATAGAGTATGGGCCTGGGGCTGAAGGGTCCTGGGTTCCATTCCGGCCAAGGGCACATGCCAAGGTTGCAGGCTTGATCCCCAGTAGGGAGCGTGCAGGTGGCAGCTGATCAATGATTCTCTCTTATCATTGATGTTTCTATACTCATTCCTTCTCCCTTCCTCTCTGAAATCAATAAAAATGTATTTTTAAAAAACCTATTTCCTCTGCATAGCACATATGCATAGGACAGCTATATTTGTTGTTTGCGTGTCTTCCTGTGTAAAGAATAGTACTCGATAAGATGAGCCCCGACCATAAAAAAAACATGTAAAATACAGCCTGTTGCCCTAGCCCAGTGGTCGGCAAACTCATTAGTCAACAGAGCCAAATACCAACAGTACAACGATAGAAATTTCTTTTGAGAGCCAAATTTTTAAACTTAAACTATATAGGTAGGTACATTGTTATTAACTTAATTAGGGTACTCCTAAGCTGGCCTTTGCTAAAAAGTCCTCAGTCTGATTGAGGTACGTTCGCTGAGGTCGACCCCTTCCAATCTCTCGTCCATACTTGTCTTGTGTACTTGTTTCGTCTGTCTCCTTTCGTTCATCCTCTCTGTATGTCCAAACCATCTCAACATACCTTTCTCAGTCCTCGACACTACAGCTTCTTTCACTCCACAACGTTCCCTAAAATTAACTTAATAAACTTTACTTAAAGTTTTAAGTCAACTTCTCACTGTACGTGCGCGCCCGCACGTGGTATTTTGTGGAAGAGCCACACTCAAGGGGCCAAAGAGCCGCATGTGGCTCGTGAGCCCCAGTTTGCCGACCGCTGCCCTAGCTGGTTTGGCTCAGTGATAGAGCCTTGGCCTTGATTCCGGTCAAGAGCACCTGCACTTATCTCGGTGGCAGGCTCCTCCCGCCTGTGCCCTGGTCAGGGCACCTGCAGGAGGCAACCCAACACACGGATATTTCTGTCCCTCTCCCACTCGCTCTAAAAATCAATGGAAAAAATATCCTCGGGTGAGAATTAAAAAAAAAAAGATAAGAAAATCACTACCCCTGATTCAATTTTTAAAAAACAATAAAATAAAATACAGCCTGTGTAGGGGATTGCCTCCTCTCTTGGAGGCTGATACATTCAGGGATGATTTCATTAATTTGTCACGATCTCTTCTTATCCAAAGCAAATCTGAGAGCTGGCCCCTAGGAGATCCTCCCTAAATGGCCGCGCCCAGAGCAAGAAGGAAACCGAGTCCCGCTTGCCCCCAGGAAGAATTGTTGAAGCTCGACTGGCGAAGGCGTGTGGAGTTCATCTTGGCCAGTGCTTTGCACAAGAAGTGGTGACAGCTCGTCCAAGACCCAACAAGGGTTAGGGACGAGGCTGAGACTCGCACCCAGGCCTCAGCTGCCCACCCGCGGGTCCTTGCAGCCCCCTCGCCGGAAGTGACGGGCGGAACCCGGCTGTCTGCGTCTGGGGACCGCCTTGGGGAGAAAGATCTGCGGAAGGGCGGGTGGGACCGGAGGCCGGAACCTTCCTTCCGTGGGGATCCGGAGAGAAGCTGACCGGAGGAGGGCGGGGAGAAGGCGCCGCTTTGTTTCCGAGGGGACGATCTTCCGAGACGGACGCGGGAGGCGGCGGTGAGTCCCCGCGGGAGCGGGTCGGGCGGGCTGGAAGGAGGCGGGCTGGGGGTGGGCCGGTGCTGGGCCGCTGGGACCGGGGACCTTTGAGACGACGCCTGGCGTTCCCCGCGCCTCGTTTATGAAGCGCCTCCCGAAGCCGGGCCCTGGGATGCAGCCCGGAAGTGAAGGACTCGGTCCCCCTTCAGGGAGCGCACAGCCCGGGACGCGAGACGCCCCCGCTCAATGCCAAGTGTGACGAGGGCCGAGAAGGAGCCCGTGTAATAGAGTCCAGCTCGGGGTCGCTGCTAAATGGACTCCTGACAGCGGGCTGAAGGGAGGAAGGAAGTGGGTCGGTGGCCCCTGACCCAGAGGCAGAGCGGGGCGGGGGTGGGGGGTGGGGCGGCGCGGGGACGGCCATTGCGGCCGCGGAGAGCGCGGTCCGGAGGGGACCCCGGCCGGGAGGGGAGTGCGGTTCTCTCTCAAATCAATAAGTAGACATATCCTCAGGTGAGAATATTTTTTATTTACTTTTATTTTATTTTTTAATATATTTTATTGATTTTTTACAGAGAGGAAGGGAGAGAGATAGAGAGTCAGAAACATCGATGAGAGAGAAACATCGATCAGCTGCCTCCTGCACATCTCCCACTGGGGATGTGCCCGCAACCCAGGTACATGCCCTTGACCGGAATCGAACCTGGGACCTTTCAGTCCGCAGGCCGACGCTCTATCCACTGAGCCAAACCGGTTTCGGCTACTTTTATTTTTAAAAAATATATTTTTATTGATTTCAGAGAGGAAGGGAGAGGGAGAGACACATCAATGATGAGAGTCACTGACCGGCTGCCTCCTGCACGCCCCCCACTGGGGACCCGGCGGAGCCCAGGCACGTGCCCTTGAGCGGAATGGAACCTGCGACCCCTCAGTCCGCAGGCCAGGCCCCATCCACTGAGCCAACCCAGCCAGGGCGAGAAAAGAAAAGAAAATCACTACCCCTGCTTCAATTTTTTAAAAAATAATAAAATAAAATAGAGCCTGTGTGGGGATTACCTCCTCTCTTGGAGGCTGAGGCGTTCAGGGATGGTTTCATTAATGTCGTCCGGATGGTACCTGAGGCTGAGCGCGGTCCCAGCGGCCAGGAGGTCCGGGTGGGGTTCCCTGCTGGACCCTGATGGGGCGTGTGCAAGAGGCAGCCAACCGGTGATTTTCTCATCATGGATGTTTCTCCCTCTCCCTTCCTCTCTGAAATCAATAAAAATGCATTTTTCAAAAGAGGTAAAATTGGCAAGTCTTTATGGATTAGATATGCTGTTTAAGTGATAACGATTCTAAGTTTCTGGCCTAAGTGAGTGAATTCAAAACAATTTCCTTTTCCTCTAGTGTAAACACTGAAACCACAGGAAGTATTTTTTCCTCCATGATTATATGTACTTAATAAATTTTGTGTGCTCTCTGTAGAAAACTCAGAACATACACACAAAATATTTTTATGTAGGACAGCAAAAAATTTATCATCCAACTACCCAAGATGGCCATTTTTGGTGTATTTCCTTCATGTTTTTGTCTTCTGCATCTTTTTGTATAACTGGGAATATATTCATTATGTCTTTTTGTATCTGCTTTTTCCCCATTGGACATTATGACAATAAAGATTGGACTGGTATGTGCCAGAACATTATTTACAGATATTTCTTTTCCTGATTGTAACAGAAAAAGTCAGATGTAATTCCGTCAAGTTAGAGATAACTTTTTGGTGTATTTTCCTTTAAATTTGTGTGTGTGCACCTTTTATAAAAACCCATGATTTATGCTGAATTCTATGTTTTGTTTTCCAATCAGAGGTTTTTATTTAATGTTATTTATTACTATTTTTGTCTTTACTCTTGAAGACTATAGGTGTTTTTAAAAAATATATTTTATTGATTTTTTACAGAGAGGAAGGGAGAGGGATAGAGAGTTAGAAACATCAATCAGCTGCCTCCTGCACACTCCCCGCTGGGGATGTGCCCGCAACCAAGGTACATGCCCTTGACCGGAATTGAACCTGGGACCCTTCAGTCCCCAGGCCGACACTCTAGCCACTGAGCAATAAAAAAGTATAAAAATAAACGTATTTATATGTTACCCGCATTCTACCGCTAGTCTATAAAAAATGTATTAATACGTATCCCGCGCCCTACTACCAGTCAACGTAAAACGTATAAATACGTTTCCCGCATACAATGTGTTAAAGATCAAATTTTTGCAAGACTTTGTTTTTCCATCTAGGATAGTTATGTCTTTCTCATTATTCAAACTCTCTTATGCTTCTTTCATGTCTTTGTATATACCCTTCCCTTTCCTCGTTAAATTATGTCTAAGAAAGGGCCAATATTACGGATTATTTAATAATGTGCCTTCTCTGCTGAAATTCCATGTGTGAAATGACTTTAAGTCATGTCACACTTTTATTTACAAAATTATTTTCTCCCTTAATATGTGTCTAGGTTTTGCTAAAAGACAAATAAAAAGGTGAGATCAGAAAGTTTTAAAAGGCCGTGTAGAAGACAGGTTTTGAAACCGGACACAATGGGTCCGAGGCCACCTGTCACTGCTTGAGCCAAATTATGCAGAGACAGGGTTGGATTACATATGAGCGTTCATTCCATAATGCTGGCTGTATGGGGAGACCAGTCCGTCACCCTGGAAATTCTGCTCTGACCCCCCCTTGCCAGGTGGCTGTTTATATACACACAGGAAGAAGATAGCTAGCAACATGCAGCCATGAGCTGCACGTGTAGCATGAAGAGGGGAGGGTAAAGTCTGCTGTCCGGCCTTCAGGAGCTCAAAGTCCGGTAACAAGGTGGCTAATCTTTTATGATGTTATAAACAGCTCAGCCCGTCCTTGGGGCTGGAAAATGGTCAGCGTTCCTGAGATAAACTCCCAGAGGGGGTCAGGGTCTGGGCACAGCAACCAAATCGAAGCATGTCCTGTCCTTGGTCTGTTCTCAAAATGTATTTCTTTTCTGAGTGGTGGGCCCATCGAGGCAGCTCATCTTTTTATAGCCTTGTTTCATCCTCCAGTTTCCCAGGGTCTGTAAGAAACCTTATGTGTAGTTAGTAAGTGATTAACTTTTAGACAGCTGTGGCTCTATTATTACATGCCCTTCCCCACTCTGTTTTGTTAACACGGTAGGTGACTTGCAGCCTAAAGAATTCCTGATATTCTGCTCCTAGTCAGCTGCTGGGGAAGCTGCCCTCAGCCATGCCTCTGAGCTTCCCCACCTGCACGACAGGGCAGCGGGCCGCAGCCACGGTCCTTTCCCAGTAAAGGCAGCTACAGAGAGCTCAGCAGGTGAGGAAGAGAAGATCCCATGAGGAAGCCAGATGTGCTTGGGGTGGATTTTTCTAGTTTAGCAGTTGTATCATTAAATTTATTAGCAAGGAAGTTTGTTATGAATTCTAATGTTAACTTTTAAACAAAAGAAGTTTTTTGGTCTTTTTGGTTTTATGCAATAGAATCCTGTTTATCTATGAAATGCAGTTAACACATCAGCTGGACCTATTTCCGGAATGCAGGGTGACCCTTCTGTTATTTAAAGATGTAAAAAATGCTGGAGACTTGAGAAAAAAGGCCATGGAAGGTGCTATTGATAGTTCATTGATAAACCCTACAGTGGTAAGTACAAGTGAGAATGAATGAGACATACGGACATTTAAGAATATGTTAGTTTTTCATGATCTAATAGGCTAGCTTAAAACCACCATCTTCGGGTAAAAAGTTCTTTTTCTTAAAAAAAATATATTTTATTGATTTTTTACAGAGAGGAAGGGAGAGGGATAGAGAGTTAGAAACATCGATGAGAGAGAAACATCGATCAGCTGCCTCCTGCACATCTCCTACTGGGGATATGCCCGCAACCCAGGTACATGCCCTTGACCGGAATCAAACCTGGGACCTTTCAGTCCGCAGGCCGACGCTCTATCCACTGAGCCAAACCGGTTTCGGCTGTAAGAAGTTCTTGTCCAAGCTGTGGAGTGGAGTCAGACTTGGGCAGCCTTGAGTTTAATAGAAGCTGAAGTTTCAGGCGCTGCACTAGGAGGTGAGAAAGGTGTGGTCTGGCTTCATAAGGCAGATGCCTGGATCTCCATTTCTCACCTGAACTGGAAAATCTCTGCAAAGAGGCATCGTATAGCGCTGACGAGCACACGCTGTGGAATCATGTTGCAGGACTTCATCCCAACTCTGCCAGTGGTTAGGACTTGGCACAAATGGTAGCCAATGTCTATATAGTGTTTACTCTGTTCTGGCATCATTCTAAGTGCTTTACATATACTAACTCACTTCACAACAACTCTGTGAAGTAAGTACTATGATTACCTCCACCTAACAAAACACTAAGGAATTTGCCCGGGTCGTTGGTGACACAGCTGGTATTCAAACCCAGAGATTCGCTACTTTTGTTTCATCTTCTGCAGGTGAATAAGTATACTGATTTCATAGGGTAGTTTTAAGAATTAAAGGATAATCCTATATAATAAAAGAGAAACATGTAAATTGGCCATCCCTCTGCTGTGCTCACCAGCCCATCAGGAGTGAGTATGCAAATTAACCCAACAAAGATGGCAGGTTAATTTGCATACACAGGTGCCAGGTGGAGAACACAGTGGAAGAGCCGGAGGCTTGGGGGGACATGGCTCCCTTGGTCGCTCCCAGTAACTGAGGGAGCCGCGCCCCCCAAGCCACCAGGCAGAGAGCAGAGAGGGAGAGCTGGCGGCTTGGAGGACTTGGCAGAGTGGGAGGCCAGTGATGGAGACAGAGCAGGAAGGGAAAACCAAGATCGCGGGGAGCACCAGGAATTCTGGGAATAATAGTTCTGTTGGCAGCCCCAGGACCGGAAGCGAAAGCACAGAGTGCGGGGAGCACCAGGAATGCTGGGAATTGTAGTTATGGTGGCAGATGGATCTCCTAGACACTAGAGCAGCGGTTCTCAACCTGTGGGTCGTGACCCCTTTGGGGGTCGAACGACCCTTTCACAGGAGTCACCTAAGACCATCGGAAAACACATATATAATTACATATTGTTTTTGTGATTAATCACTATGCTTTAATTATGTTCAATTTGTAACAATGAAAATACATCCTGCATATCAGATATTTACATTACGATTCATAACAGTAGCAAAATTACAGTTATGAAGTAGCAACAAAAATAATTTTATGGTTGGAGGTCACCACAACATGAGGAACTGTATTAAAGGGTCGCGGCATTAGGAAGGTTGAGAACCACTGCTCTAAAACAGAGTGAGCCTGGAGCAAGTTACTGTTGCGGTGGGGGATGGAGGGAAAGCAAAGGTGAGAGACATAAGTAAAATCAGAGTGTCTAGGAAAAATTAAAGGGAAGATATCCTAAAACTTCCAGGAAATCTCCACCAATGAAGCAAAGAAAAAAAAAATGCCTCTATTATTCTGTGAGCAACAAACCAAACTGAGTTGGGGTCTCAGACAGTTCGCTCATATGATTCAAAGACAGACAGAAACTCCCAGATTGGAGAAGGTGCAGGTCGGGCTGAGGGACCTCCACACCCTCCAGTACACGAATGTCGTGCACCGGGCCTCTAGTAGAAGTATAAAGTGTTTAGAATATGACCTTTCCCATAATATTAGCCCTTGATAAATGTTATTTTTAATTTGTTTTACTATTTAAGTTCATTGCAGCTTTAAAATTCTATGATTTTCTGAACACCCAGGTCCTTGAGATAGCAATTTTGAAAGTACAGTTTATAGGAATTGTGATGAAGTAAAACAGCCTGACCTTGGAGTTATCATGAGATAGGGCATGTGACTTCACAGTACTCCAGATTCTCTGTGTGTAATTCTTTTTGGTTTGTTTGTTTTGTGTTGTTTTGTGTGTTTTTTTTGGTAGATTGTCGATCCATTTCAGATACTTGTGGCAGCAAACAAAGCAGTTCATCTCTACAAACTAGGAAAAATGAAGACGAGAACTCTATCTACTGAAATTATTTTCAACCTGTCCCCAAATAACAATGTAATTAATATGGATTTACTTAACTTTATTTCTGCTCACCTTGTCTTGATACTATGAGTGTTCCCCAGAATTCCTGTAAGTCTATTGTTAGTAGCAAACCAATGGAGTAGTGAAGAGAGGTCTGGACAGAGAGTTGAGGTTTAGCTCTGCCTTTTGCTAGAAAAATAAGCTTTGGACTCACTTTGCATTTGAGCAAACAAAAGTTTTGCTAAATTAAGTGAGCATAGTTTTATCTGTATAGGATCAGGAAGATCCCTGTAAGTGACATCTGAATCTAAATGATAAAACAATAGGCATGGATATTTGAGTGCTATCGTATGCATTTTTAATTCTTCCTGTAAACTTGAGGGTAGAACCCATGTCTTTTCCATTTACAAGAAGCCTGCCTGCTACCTAGAACAGCCCTTAACACATGCTCATTCCCACACTCAGTGTGTAGAAAGAGTTTGTGATTTGAGATACTAATAGTAACTCAAAAGTTTTGAGCTAAAGACATTCCACATGTGACACATAAAAATAAAAAATAGCTGAAATTTTGCTGATGAAGTTTTAGTATTACCACTACTATTAATAACACAACCAGGTACTAATGTCATCAAAAGAAAACTTAGGAAACCTGTGCTATGGTTTAAAATACAGATGTTTGAAATATTCATGAAATGCATGATAATAGAATCCCCCAGTACCTGGAGGAAAAATTACCAGGTAATTATTGTTTCTTTGAGAACATTTGAAATAATTGAAGAAACGATTCCATTCAGTGGACACCTGTTTGTCCCTGTGCTATTCAGTTCTAGGAACAGAAGGAACAGATACGTCCTGAGGAAGGCAGGTGAACAAGACGGAAGTCCGAATGCCCTAAGATCAATGATCTGATGGGAATGATAATTCACATCTGTGGGAACAGCAAAGAACAATTTTTCTGTAAGGAGGAGGGTGCAGAAGGGAGTGACCTTTGAACTGCACCTTGAGGGTGAGGGCACTCCAGGCAGAGCACAAACAGTGAGCACACAGGCAATGAAGTGTGACATGATGGGATCTCCAAACAGTCTAGTCGGCAGGAGTGCAGGACTGAGGGTCACCGGCCGGAGGAGGGGTGATTGGTGTTCCTTGCAAAGAAGTTTGAGCTTGATTCCACAGGATGAGCAGAGTGCTGTAGAGGCAGAACTGGTAGATGTTGGGAAGGGATTATTGAAGATAAAAACTAGGCAGAGAGAACTCCCAGGATATGAAAATACCCTGAGCAGGAAGAACGATGGTGAGGTGCTTCAGACATAGAAACTATTGCTTCATTGTCTTTTTCCCCCCCAGATTTCAGAGGCTTTGAAAAAATTCGGTATCTCAGCAAATGACACTTCAGTTCTAATTGTTTACATTGAAGATGGAGAAAAACAAATAGATAAAGAAGACCTAATAGCTAAGGTAGAAGGTCAGCAAGTTTCCCTGAAAAATCTTCCTGAAATAACAAATATTACAGAAGTCAAAAAGGTTTGTAAATCCAAAAAGGTGATAGATGAGGAATGATACCAATGCTGTTTGCTATTGCTAACCTATGCTACTTTTTTCTTTTTCGAACTTTTTTTCTTCCTTAAATATATTTTATTGATTTTTTACAGAGAGGAAGGGAGAGGGATAGAGAGTTAGAAACATCGATGGGAGAGAAACATCAATCAGCTGCCTCTTGCACACCTCCTACTGGGGATGTGCCCGCAACCAGGGTACATGCCCTTGGCCGGAATCGAACCTGGGATCCTTTAGTCCGCAGGCTGACGCTCTATCCACTGAGCCAAACCGGTTAGGGCTGAACTTTTTTTTTTCAATCCATTTATTATTTTTTTAGACAAAGGAAGAGAGAGAGAGAAACATTAATCCCTTGCCTCCCATGTGCTCCCTGACTGGGGATAGAACCCACAACCTAGGTATGTGCCCTGACCGGGAATCAACGCTCCAACCAACTGAGCCACCCAGCGTGGCGTTTTTTTGAACTTTTAAGAAAGGTTAACATAATTTAAAATTACTTGAAAAATTATTATAGATGCGAAGAACTGGAAGAGGCAGGTTTGTGTAAAATATAATTAGAAACTTGGTTGATAAAAGCATTTTCTAACTAAGAAAGAATAGACAACTTTAGATGTCAAGCTTACATAGTTATATTACATTTGTAATATAACATACATTTAGTATGAAGCTAGTGTGTATGCCTTTAAACTGGTTCAAATTTAGTTACTAGGTTTAGAGAGCTACCACCATAATTTCAATTTAAAGGGCACTTTTGACATATGTGATGCATCTACTTTGCATATTTTAGTCACATTTTAATTTCATACTGTTATCCCAATAATTGAATGATAAATGATTTCACTTACAGGTTTGTGTAATAAAAGTTAGTAGTGCATGAATATATTAGAATGCCATAATTTGTATTTTATTTTTATAGATATATAAACTATCTTCACAAGAAGAAAGGATTGGGACATTATTGGATGCTGTCATTTGTAGAATGTCAACAAAAGATGTTTTGTGAAATGTCAGAAACATTAAAAATGTTCAGCATTTATAAAAAACGTTACTTTTTCTTTTCTTATAATAAAACTAGAGGCCTGGTGCACAAAATTCGTTCGGGGGTGGGGGATGTTCTCAGCCCGACCTGTGCCCTCTCACAATCCGGGACCCCTCGGGGGATGTCCAACTGCCAGTTTACAGGCCTAAACCAGCAGACAGACATCCCTCACAATCTGGGATGCTGCATGCACCAGTGACCATAATTTCATGCAGGTGAAAGGCATCTTGCCACCCTAGCTGGTTTGTCTCCATGGATAGAGGACATGATAGAGGACCAAGGGTCCCCGGTTCGATTCCAGTCAAGGGCACATGCCTGGGGTTGCGGCTTGATCCCCAATAGGGAGCATGCAGGAGGCAGCCAATCAATGATTCTCTCTCATCATTGATGTTTCTATCTCTCCCTCTCCCTCCCTCTCTGAAATCAATAGAAATATATATATTTTTTAAAAAGGCATCTTGCTGTTGTATGGGCAGCTACATTTTTTGCCCTGATTATAAAAAGTGGTACATAACATGATCCTTCTGAGGCAGTAGTACCATTTTCCCCATCTTATGGGTGGAAAAACTGAAGCAGAGAGAAGTTAAGTAATTGGCTTTGTCACACAGTTATAAGTGTCAGAATCAGGGCTGACCACAAAATGTGCAAGCCAGAGTCCATGCATGTCATCGCTGCATCATCCCGTTTTTTCAGTGTTAGAGTAGCCTTGCCAGGTTTTAATTTTTAAATATAAAGCTGTACCCAATACATAGGGTAGGGTCCCTAGGCCTGGCTGGTGATCAGGGCCAATCTGTGCGGTGACTGGTGGGGTGAGTCCCCACTGGCACCTGCCTTGGCTGGTGGTACTGGTGCTGCCTGCTGGCTGACCCTGCTCCCTGCTGCCGCCACCGGTTGCCTCCTCCTATGGCCCCGACTGAGGGCAGCTCCTCCATTGAGCATCTGCCCCCTGGTGGTCAGTGCATGTCATAGTGGCCGGTCCTTCTGTCATTCAATCAATTTGCATATTAGGGTTTTATTATATAGGATTTATATGTGTTTATTATAGAAAATTTTAAAACAGGATGGTATAACGGGGGAAACCTTCTATTTCTACCTGTTAATATTTTCAAAGATAATCACTGTTAGTGTTATTTGTTATTCTAGTCTTGTATTTCCATTCAGATATATTTTATCTATATATATAAAAGCCTAAGCAACCGGTTGACCATTTGACCAGTCCACCGATTAACAGTAGCTATGATGCACACTGACCATCAGGGGGCAGACGATCCAACCTGTAGGTTACCTTGCTGCTCAGGTTCGGCCGATTGGGACTGGGCAAGACGGGCCAGACACACCTTGGAACCCTCCCTCAATCCCTCCCCAGCTGGCCAACTTCCTGTGGCCCCTCCCCAACTGGCCAGCCCCATTGGCCCCAATTGGGACTGGGTGAGACAGGCCAGATACGCCCTGGAGCCCTACCTGGCCCCAATCTTGCACTGATGGGATCCTGGATTGCAAAAGGGTGCAGGCCAGGCTGAGGGACCCCACAGGTGCATGAATCCATGCACCGGGCCTCTAGTTTTTATATAATTGGAATAGTAAATGCAAACATTTGTTGGATGTCTACAAGGTACTAGGTTTTTGCCTTAGTGATTTTTTTAAATATATAATTGATTTTTTTACAGAGAGGAAGGGAGAGGGATAGAGAGTTAGAAACATCGATTAGCTGCCCCCTACTGGGGATGTGCCCGCAACCAAGGTGCATGCCCTTGACCGGAATCGAACCCGGGACCCTTGAGTCCACAGGCTGATGCTCTAGCCACTGAGCCAAACTGGTCAGGGCTGCCTTAGTGATTTTATAAACACTAGCTCATAACACTTTTTGGGATAGATGCTGTTATTACCCTCATTTTACACTCGGCCACTAAAATATTATGGTAACTTTCCCAAGGTCCTACCGCTAATGTAAAATCATGTTTTATAAGTGATTTGGGTTTTTTTTTTTCATTTTGATTGTATCAGTCAGGGTAGACTAGGTCATGGCTGGCAAACCTTTCTGTGAAGGGCCAGATAGTAAATATTTACAGCGTTACAGGCCAAATGGTCTCTGTTGCATCTACTCAGCTCTCACTGTTGTAGTGCAGGGGCATCCACAGTCCATACATGAATGATGAATGTGGTTGTTTTCCAGTAAAACTGGAAATAAATGATGGGCAGGATGACCGAGGACTGTGGTTTGAGGAGTTCTGGGTTAGATTAGGCTGCAATTCCGATCCCTAAAGCTCATTGGCTTCACATGACAAAGCTCCTTGCTCACTCTGTGTAGCCAGCGTGAATCGGCAGGAAGACTTGCAGTGACTCTGGGACTCGGCCGGCTGACGGCCTCATCTCAGCGTGTGCTCTGTGGGTCACTGCACAGCTGGAAGGAACGCCCTCAGGGCGGCTCCTCAAGTGCAGAAGCACACAGCTAATGTTTCCTGCATGCACTCTGCTCAGCACTTTAATGCACTCCCTCACTTAGTCTTCATTGCAACCCCAGGGGATTTTGCCAGCGAAAAACCAGACTTGGTCTCTCAAGTCTATTTCAAAAAATTTCAAGTGTACAAAACCATTGCAAATATTATTTAAAAGTAAGTTGCAGTCCTTGAGGCACTCACCCTGCATTGTGCTTGTCGTGGCTCTTCTTCTCCTTTAGAACAATTCTTTAAAAAAAAGTAATGTTGAGATTGTTTTAAGAGTACCCCAGATGACAGAATAGGAGAGAACCAAGATGGCGGCATAGGTTAACGCTGGAGTTTGCTGCTTTGAACAACTACTTCAAAAGTGAAACTAAAAGACGGAACGGACATCACCCCGAACCACAGGAACGCTGGCTGAGTGGAAGTCCTACAACTAGGAGGAAAGAGAAACGCATACGGACACTCAGAGGAGGCGCAGTGCTGAAGTCAAATTCTGAGGTGCGGAGCGGGCTGGGAGCGGAGGGCGCGGTTGGCGTTTTCAATCGGGAGGGAGTCGCAGACTCTGAGCTCCAGATCCGGGCGAGTCTTTAGCCACCCAGACTCAAACGGGAGAAGCGGGACTGTCTGGCTTCGGTCAGAGCGAGTGCAGCTTTCTCTCCGAGCTTTGCAGCGGGTGCTGGGACTCAGAGAGGCAGAGCCCCTGGGGACAGGACTGAGAGCCGCCATAACTGCTCTCTCCGGCTCACCCTGTTGATCCTGTTCGACCCGCCCCGCCCAAGCCCTGCACTGAGGCATTTGCCGGATAGCCTCAGGCAAAGGCTAGATTAGCACCTCCCTAGAGGACAGAAGTTCTCTCACTGCTGACACAGCTGATTCCCATAGCCACTTGGCCTGGAGGTCAAACCCTCCCTGGAATTAGCTACAACAATCAAGATTTAACTATAAGACTGCGAACAAAGACCACTAGGGGGTGCACCAAGGAAGCATAACAAAATGCGGAGACAAAGAAACAGGACAAAATTGTCAATGGAAGATACAGAGTTCAGAACCACACTTTTAAGGTCTCTCAAGAACTGTTTAGAAGCTGCCGATAAACTTAATGAGATCTACAAGAAAACTAATGAGACCCTCGATCTTATATTGGGGAACCAACTAGAAATTAAGCATACACGGACTGAAATAACGAATATTATACAGACTCCTGACAGCAGACCAGAGGAGCGCAAGAATCAAGTCAATGATTTGAAATGCGAGGAAGTAAAAAACACCCAACCGGAAAAGCAAAATGAAAAAAGAATCCAAAAATGCGAGGATAGTGTAAGGAGCCTCTGGGACAGCTTCAAGCGTACCAACATCAGAATTATAGGGGTGCCAGAAGATGAGAGAGAGCAAGATATTGAAAACCTATTTGAAGAAATAATGACAGAAAACTTCCCCCACCTGGTGAAAGAAATGGACTTACAGGTCCAAGAAGCGCGGAGAACCCCAAACAAAAGGAATCCAAAGAGGACCACACCAAGACACATCATAATTAAAATGCCAAGAGCAAAAGATAAAGAGAGAATCTTAAAAACAGCAAGAGAAAGAAACTCAGTTACCTACAAGGGAATACCCATACGACTGTCAGCTGATTTCTCAACAGAAACTTTGCAGGCCAGAAGGGAGTGGCAAGAAATATTCAAAGTGATGAATAGCAAGAACCTACAACCAAGATTACTTTATCCAGCAAAGCTATCATTCAGAATTGAAGGTCAGATAAAGAGCTTCACAGATAAGGAAAAGCTAAAGGAGTTCATCACCACCAAACCAGGATTATATGAAATGCTGAAAGGTATCCTTTAAGAAGAGGAAGAAGAAGAAAAAGGTAAAGATACAAATTATGAACAACAAATATGCATCTATCAACAAGTGAATCTAAGAATCAAGTGAATAAATAATCTGATGAACAGAATGAACTGTTGATTATAATAGAATCAGGGACATAGAAAGGGAATGGACTGACTATTCCTGGAGGGGAAAGGGGTGTGGGAGATTCGGGAAGAGACTGGACAAAAATTGTGCACCTATGGATGAGGACAGTGGGTGGGGAGTGAGGGCGGAGGGTGGGGCGGGAACTGGGAGGAGGGGAGTTATGGGGGGAAAAAAAGAGGAACAAATGTAATAATCTGAACAATAAAGATTTAATTAAAAAAAAAAAAAGAGTACCCCAGATGTCTTTCAGAATTCCACAATTTGGAATTGTTTGTGATTTGAGTCAGTTTAAATATTTTTGGGCATAATAGATCGATTTTGTGTCCTTCCTGTATATTTTAAACAAATAAGTAACTGCATGTTTCCTCTGAAGCTGAGAGATGCTGCTCCCCTCAAAGCTCAAAATGCTGTGGTCAGGGTTAAGTTTCAGATCTGTGACCCCAGATGCTGTGCTCCTCTTCCCCTGCCCTCACAGACACGTTCGTTTTATTGATGTGTAACATTTCGCATATGTAGTTCCTTTATTACACATTTGTGTTGCTTTCAAATTTTTGCCTCCCCTTTGCAAGTAAATCTTGGTACATGTTTCTTCTTTATTTTTTAAAATGTATTCTTATTGATTTCAGAAAGAGGAAAGGAGGGGGAGAGAGAGAAAGAAACATCAATGATGAGCGAGAATCATTGATCGGCTGCCTCCTCCCCGCCCCACAATGGGGATCAAACCCACAACTCGGCCATATGCCCTGACCAGGAATCCAACGTGACCTTTTGATTCATAGGTCAACACTCAATCACTAGTCACGCTGGCCAGAGTGTTTCTCTTTAGAACAGCTTCCCGGAAGTGGAATTACTGGGGATGAGGATATGCATTCATTAAAGGCTTTTAATACAAGACGTGCTATGTGCAGTTTGGTAGGTCACATGATTTGCCTCCTTCATCAAGGGTTACATATTAAAGCTACAAACTGGCTGTCTGCCCTGCGCACTGGAATAGGGTGGGGAGCGGACTCTGTTACCCAGGAGGTCATTGTTCCACGTCTCCCCAGTCCTGAACTGAGCCATCTCAGGGGAAGGGCCTTTAATCACCCATCACTACCCCCCACACACTCAGAACTACAGGGACTGCTCATAAGCCTGCTGCCCCTTCAGGCTGTCCCGAACCCTTTTCCCCACTCCCAGATGATGACCCATATTCCAAAAGTGAATGGAGAACAGGCTCGCTGCCCAGCTCCCTGACGGGTTGATGATTAACATGGCCAGGAGCCAGCCAATGAGCGGCCTCCAGGGCCTGGTCCCAGAGCTAGAGCCAGCCCTGCACAGTTTTCCCAGATGCCAGTCAGAGGCTGAGGGAGGAGGCCGGGCTGAGGCCACCCTGAACATTCGAGGCTTTTGTGGTGACAGGTGAGAGGACGTGGGTGGAAGGACAGGGCTCTGAGTGTGGCCTGCAGCTCCGGACCCTCCTCTGGCTCTCAAGGCAGGGCCAGGTTGGGTGTTGGGCTCTTGGGCCACCTCAGCAGCCTCCACCTTTGCAATCAGGGGGGAAGGAGCCTTTGCGGAGACCTGTGATTGGGGACACAGGCTTCCTGCAAAGTGCGGACCCTGGCAGAGGCACCAAGGGTGAGGGGGCACATGCTCTGGCTGCTGCACGGTGGCACCAATGTAGCAAGGGGCTGAGAGGAGAGGCAGGAAGAGGGGAAGTGGTGGAGGGGAGGGTACACGTATCTGTTGTTTTATCAAATTCTCAGAACAACCTCAGAGGCAGGCTTTGATTTTATACTGTTGTACAGATGAAGAGGCTCAGAGAGGTTAGGCAACATGCCCAAGGTCACACAGCTAGAAAGGAAGGGAGCCAGGTCAAATGCAAGTCTTTCTGACCCTGCACCTTCTCCCAGTGGCTGTGTCCTACTTCCCAGGGCAGCAGCAGAATGACAAGTCCTTGACAGGGGCTCTGTGGTTCCCGGGAGGTGGGATACGGGGGTCTCACTTGGCTTCCTCTCTCTTCCCCAGGGCTGCGGGAAGGGTGCAGGGACGCCTAGCTCTCTCTGCTGGACTTCGAGGCTCAGACCCACCAGTCCCCATGGCTCCTTATCAAATCCGCAAATACCAGGAGAGCGACCGCCCATGGGTCTTGGACTTGTTCGCCCGGGGCATGGCTGAGCACGCCCCCACCACCTTCCGCCACATCCTGAAGCTGCCACGAACTCTTGTGCTCTTGCTTGGGGGGCCCCTCGCCCTGTTTGTGGTCTCTGGGTCCTGGCTCCTGGCCCTCATGGCCGGCCTCACCCTCCTGGCTGCCCTGAGGTTCCTGGCCAAATACCCCTGGACCCAGTATGTGTCCAACTGTTTGCGCACAGACATGCGTGACATCAGCAAAACCTACTTGAGTGAGCCAGGCTCCTGCTTCTGGGTGGCTGAGTGTGAGGGGCGGGTGGTGGGCACGGTGGGAGCTCTGCCCGTTGGGGAGCCCACCCTGGGGAAGGAGCAGGTGGAGCTGTTTCACTTAAGCGTGGCCTGGGAGCACCGGGGCCAGGGGATAGCGAAAGCCCTGGTCAGGACCGTCCTGCAGTTTGCACGGGACCAGGGCTACCGTGAGGTTGTCCTCAGCACCAGCATGCTGCAGTACTCCGCCCTGGCCCTCTACCAGCGCTTCGGCTTCCGCAAGACCGGCCAGTATTTCCCCTCCATGATTAACAGGCTATCTGCTATTCATGTAGTTCATTTAACCTACCGGCTCCCCTCTGCTCATGCGTCTCAGGCGCCAGGGCAGATGCAGGGCCTGTGATCTGTGTCCTTGTGGATTAGTCAGGACAGGACAGGCTCTGCCGCAGTAACAAGCTCACCCGAGTCTCCTGTGACAGCACAGTAAAGCTTCTGTTTGTGAACATCTGAGCCCCACGGGATGGTGGGGTTCTGCTCCATTTAGTCTTTTTCAGATGCCTCTGTTCCATTTATCTACTGACACAAGACTATTGCATAAAGTCAATCACAAAAGAATAATAAACATTTCCTTAGCTGAATTCTGTGAGTCAGCAATGAAGGTGGGGCTTGGCTGGGCAGCTCTTTGGTCTCGGCTTTGTCCACACGTCCTGGGTGGCTGGTTCCCGTGCCGTGGGGTTGGCTGAGTGACAGGGTGCCTGGGCTTTCCTAGGTTCCAGCAGGCTCGCTCAGGCATGGCTTCCAGGTGATTGAATGAGCCCAAGGGAAGCAGAAACAAGCAAATGCATTTTCAAGCCTCTGCAGGTGTCACACCTGCTAACATCCCAGGCTCAGCGGGAAGAAAGGGACCCACCTCTTTAGGGCTGCAGGGACTCCTGGCGAAGGGACTTGGAGAGGAGTGGGGTGAGTCCAGGTGAGAAGTTGGGGTGGTTCCAGGTGAGAAGGTTGGGGACAGGGAGGCTCTGCTGACGGGGAAGAAGGCAGCCAGCGACAGAGTGTGGGATGTTGACCTCCAGGCTAGACCTGCCAGTCATGGGACCCTGGTCGCACTGGCTGGGACCAGTCACATGGCCCCACAGGTCTGAAGGGTGGCTGGGAAAGTGGTGTCCTGGAAGGGAAGTGGGCCTGGCCAGTTCCTCAGATCTGCCACCCCTGGGACCCCGCCTTTGTCCCCGGATGCCCAGAGTCTCCAGATTCTCACAGGTGCCTTAGACTGAACTGCCTCATCTGGTGAGACTGTCTGATCCATTGTGAGGTGGGCTCGGGCCCAGGGCGGGTGTGTGCAGCCCCCTGCACCCTTCCCAGCTGGCGCATCACCGGCATGGGTGGCTCACAGGTGATCTGGAGCCTCTCACTGGGTCCCCCCCAACCCAGAGGCTGCTGTTCAGGAGCTGGTGAGTCCATGTTGACCCAGGAAATCCAGGTGCCTTTTCAGGTGTGCCTTGTGACACACAGGCCTCCAACCCTGCAGTGTGCTCTGCTCCTGGCTGATCTCTGATGTTAGCCAAGGCCACAAACCTGCTCACTCCTGCCAGCTCGCTTTGTAACAAGCACATCACCTCGAAATGGGGACCAGGAGCAAAGTGGCTCCAACATGCATGTTCTTGCCCAAAACCCTGGGCCTCAACCTTGTCCCTTTATTTAGGCCTCTTCTCCCTGGTCTGGGGTCCCACACAGGCCCCTCTGTCAGCCCATCCTCCTCCTGCAGGCCTGCGCCCTACAACTTCCCCGTGATGCTCAGAAGACTTGACCACTGTTTAACTGGCCCCTGATTCTGGGTCTTAAACCAAACGTCTGTGCCCCCTCATTGTGTTCCAGCTTCAATAGGTAACGGCAGGGACTGGGGTCCATCTCCGTGAGGGGGGCAGGAAGAGGCAGGGACCTGCTCCCATCAGCTCCCCTGGGCCCAGTCAGGTGGCCCCGCAGGAGGAGTTCCCATGTGGGCACCACTGGTGCTCAAGACCAGGGAGCTGAGGAGGGACCAAGGAGGGGCAAGGGCAGGTTCGTGGTCATGAGTGGAGGGATGAGGGTGTTACTGACAACAGGGTAGGACATCAGAGGGGCACTTAACCCCTCGTGGGTGAGGGCTTCCCAGAGCGGCCAGGGCTTCTGCTCCTAAAAAACAAAGCCAGGAATGTGTCACCCAGCCAGTGTTGCTCAGTGGTTGAGCATCGACCTATGACCCAGGAGGTCACCATTCGATTCCTGGTCAGGGCACGTGCCTGAGTTGGGTGCTCAGTCCCCAGTGAGGGGCATGCAGGATTCTCATCATTGATGTTTCTCTCTCTCTCTCCCTCTCTCTTCCTCTCTGAGGTAAACTAACATACATATCCATATCCATATCCATATCCATGTACATGTACATATACATATACATGTACATGTACATGTACATATACATATACATATACATATACATATACATATACATATACATATACATATACATATACATATACATAGGAACGTGTCCATCACCTGCTCCAGTCCCCTGCACGTGTTGCCCGTTTCCCGGTCTTTCAGTGAACGGAAGCTCTTGCCCTGGCCTGGTGGCTCAGCTGGTGGGGTGTTGTCCGTGCACTGAAAGGTGTGGTTTCAGTCCTGGTCAGGGCGCGTACTGGGTCAGGAAGCATCAGGAGGCAACAGATCGATGTTGCTTGCTCGCTCTCTCACACCCTCCCTCTCTCTCTAAAACAGCAATTCTCAGCCTGTGGGTCGCGACCCCTTTGGCGGTCGAACGACCCTTTCACAGGGGTCGCCTAAGACCATCCTGCGTATCAGATATTTACATTATGATTCATAACCGTAGCAACATTACAGTTATGAAGTAGCAACAAAAAGAATTTTATGGTTGGGTCACAACATGAGGAACTGTATTTAAAGGGCCAGAAGGTTGAGAAGCACTGATCTAAAATCAATAAACATCATCAGGTGAGGAAAATAAACAACAATTGGAAGCTCTCTTTCTGCTTGAGGCCTTCGCACATACTGTTCCCTCTTCTGGAACGCTCTCGTTCAACCTCTCCTCTACCCATCATCCTCTATGTCTGTTCAATTCCTACACTTTTCAGCGAGGGGCAGGGATAATTGGGTTGAGGAGGCAACCCTTGAGGAAGCAGTTCATCCTGCTGGCATGCTGGCAGACACAGCTGTTTATTCCTGCTAATCAAAGGGTGGTTCTCAGCCACAGCAGGACATTGCCTGGATGCTTGTGAAAAATAAGTGGAAAAAACAAGCATGGTTGAAACCAAGATGGCGGCATAGGCAAACACCTGAAATTGCCGCCGCACACAACAAATTCAAAACTACAACTAAAAGACAAAACGGACATCACCCAGAACCACAGGGAGGCTGGCCGAGTGGAAATTCTACAACCAGAAGGAAAGAGAAAAGCACACTGAGACTCAGAGGAGGTGCGGAAGTAAAGTGCAGAGGTACGGAGGCGCACGGGGGAAGGGCTAGCAATGGAGGACGTGGTTGTCTTTTTCAATCGGGAGGGAGACACAAGCTCCCGATGGCCCTGAACTCCAGTTCCGGGCGAGTCTCTGGGGACCCAGACTCATACGGGGAGAAACAGGACTGTCTGGCAGCGGGCAGAACTCGAGGGCAGCTTTCTCTCAGAGGTGCTTGCAGAGATTACCCGGACACTGAGACACTGAGACGCGGGGCCTCTTAGGGCAGGGCTGAGGATCAGCCATAGCTGTTTGCTCCACCCTGTTGATTCCCTGAGACCCCACCCCATCCAAGCTGTGGCAGAGGCTTTTGCATATGAATGGCCTGGCCTTTTGCAATCTAAAATTACCTAACAAACTGCAGCTGGGTCAGAGAGACCCACAACATCCAAAAGAAGGCCTAAGGCCCCACCCACAGCCACTTGCCTGTGGACTGAAGGGTCCCGAGTTCAATTTCGGTCAGGGGCACATGTGAGGGTTGTGGGCTAGGTTCCCAGTAGAGGGCGTGCAGGAGGCAGCCGATCGATGATTCTCTCTCATCATTGATGTTTCTATCTCTTTCCCTTCCCCTCTGAAATCAATAAAAATATTTTTAAAAAAGAAGTCCAGATTGGTAGTCACAAAATAGTCCCGGGACTGTAAGTACAGCATAGGGAATATAGTCAGTGACACTATAAAATACAGTGTAGCTATGTATGGTGCCAGGTGGGTACTGGAAATAGCAGGGGTGGGGGAGCATCAATTAGTAAAGTATGTGATTGTTTAACCACTATGCTGCATGCCTGACACTAATACAAAATCATAGTGAACGTGAACTGTACCAGAACAATAAAATAACATAAGAAGACTCCATTGGCAGGGAGTGTGGATTTGATCTGGGGAAGATGGGCCAAGGAGTAAGCAGCCTGGGTGGCCTGGCCTCGGTCCCGCTGTTCGGCCACATCAGCCCCCTCGCCAGGGAGCAGGGAGCTTGGACCCAAGACAGAGCAGCGGCCCCTGGGAGGCCAGTGCCATGCTGCATTGAGAAGAAAACTGCCCAGGATTAATGCTAATGTGTAAGATTAACCAGTGGGCAGAAGAAGCTTCGTATCCACGCTTGTTTTTTTATTTTTTATTTTATTTTTTTAATTAAATCTTTATTCTTCAGATTATTACAGTTGTTCCTCTTTTCCCCTTCCATAGCTCCCCTCCACCCAGTTCCCACCCCACCCTCTGCCCTTACCCCACTCCCCACACACACACACTGTCCTCATCCATAGGTGTACGATTTTTGTCCAGTCTCTTCCTGCACCCCCACACCACTTTCCCCCCGGGAATTGTCAGTCAGGGGGAACTAGATTGTCAGTGCACTCCCTTGCTCAGGGTAAAAACTCTCAAACAAGCTGCAGCTGGGTCAGGGGTTATAAATTGGGTGAGGCAGGGTCTTAGGGAATCACCAGGGCGGAGCGAACAGAATTGGCCGCCAGTCAGCCCTGCGACCAGGGAGGTCCCAGCATAGGACCAATGATCCCTGCAAGCCGCCCCTGAGTTCCTGTCCTGATGCCAGACAATCCAGTTCCTCCTGGTATGTGTCTGTGTTCCCCAGAGCCTCACCCGGCACTGGAGCTCAGAGGACGCCGAGCTTGTAAGTTCAGTTGGTGGTGCCAACCTCTTAAGAGGAACAGCTGGGTCTCTGGCAGCTTCTGTGCCTCTGCACCCCAGTCCACACTGGTTTTTACAGCCCATAGTTCTTGTCCCAGCTCTGGGACCCTGGGCTGGGGGCCTGGTGTGGGGGTGGGACCGCTTGCTCCTCTGGGTCACACGTGGGTGCCGGCCCAGCTTCTTCCGATCCACCGCACCTCCTCCCAGCCTCAGTGAGCTTTCTTCTTTATGTCTCTAGTTGTAGGACTTCCATTCAGCCAGCTTTCCAGCGGTTTTGGATGATGGTTGCTCTGTATTTTAGTTGTAATGTTGATGTGGTTGAGGGAGGCGGCAAGTACAGACACACCTACGCCGCCATCTTCTGAGCTCCTGTACCATGGCTTTTTATTTTATTTTAAATTCGTTACTGTTTAAAGTATTACATAAACCTCCTTCCCCCGCACTGACCTCTCCCCCCATGGCTTTGTAAGAAGGGGTGCAAAGCTGTC